ATTATTATTATTATTATTATTATTATTATTATTATCCTAAAGAAGAAGAAGCCTAAGTTCATGTAACCAATTCTCTTATCCATTTTTCTTTTGTCAATAGTTGACTCCTAATAAATATTGGTGATCCATCTATCTTTGACTCAACAACCATTCACTAATTTATGCATTAAAGTAACAATAATAAAAGGACATAGGAAAATCTTAGTAGTCTAATTGGTTTGCTACTGAACTTTCACCTTACGGGTCGTTTGGTAGAAAATAAGTTATTCCGGGATTAGTTATTTTACCCTCTCATAAGGATAAATAAATACGGGGTCGTTTGATCGCGGAATAAGATGGGATAAAGTATGGTACTAAATTTATACCATATTTGGTTGATGATATAAATTTATCTCGGGATAAGATTATACCGTCAACCAAACATGGTATAAACTTACTCCTAGACGTAATCCTGAATATCCCACCTTATCCCATCAAACTTGGTATTATTTTATCCCACCTCCCAGGTAGGATAAATTAATCTGGGGATAATTTAGTCCGCTTACCAAACGAGTTCAATCCCAGGATAACTAATCTCGTGATTAGTTATCCTGTGATTTTATCCCAACCAAACATGAGATAAATTAATTTTAAATTTAATCCCGAGATTAATTATCGTTTATTGCTCGTACCAAACGAGCCATTAGTGGTGAATGTTTGATTTTTCAGCTTGTAATCCTCTAATTTTTCCTTTTCCTCTCCTATATGTATAATAAAAACTTGCCCATAAAACAACTTCTCTTTTATTTTGTTGGTGTTAAGTTGAGAAAGAACCTAGTGAAGATGACATCATGAGTAAAATGATGTTAAAGGTTGTGGTGAGATAAATAAGAACCCTTTATTTAAATTAGAGTCTCAAGTCTAAGGCAAGATAGAGCTTTTAGGCTACGAGTTCAATTGACTTCATTACTGTCGACATAAATTATAAATTTATATATAAAAATTTATTAAATCTAAAAATATATAGATCTAAATCTATAATTTTAATCATAAAATAAAATTAATATTAAAAATATTAAAAATTGAACTCATTAAATTTAAATTATGAATCCGCGCTCCTTAGGTCGAGTATGTGAATGGAAAAAATTATAGTAAAAATATTTTTCTTTTTAATGGACCTAATATGGTAAATTTGAACCTTAATACGAATAACCGACATCAAATAAAAAATGAAAATAAGTGGAACAAAGTTCAAATTTATATGTGGTTGGAATTTGCAGGGCAATAGAGCCACATGTAGGGTGGAATAAATGGAAAATCGACAGTAAATCAAAGGAAAAAGGGCGACTTCGTCGTCATCCCTAAAACCCTTTGAAAAACTCAGTATAACTTCTGTTTTCTCTTTATTTGCATAGTTTGTCGCTTTTAGATTTCTGTGAGCTGTTCTATAGTCAGAAACCGCTGGAGAAAAGATAAAAATCAGGACCGAGTTAAGGCGTAAAATACCAGAAATTAGTACTTTTTCTCATTTTCCAAATTTAAACGTCACCTTTTTTATTTTTTAATGAATTATAGCAAATTCTTATTTTAGAATTGTACCTACCCCCCTTAATCTGTAAAGGAGATTCTTGAATTTTAAACCTTTAAATTTTTCAAAATTTTAGGGTTTTACATTTTTTTTTTCCATAACTTCTTTAGCATCTGCCTAACTACTTTCTTTTTTGCCAAATTGTTCCAATATTTATTCCCCATTCTGATTAAATATTCAATTCAAGCACTAATTTTTGCTAATACCCGTTTGCAATTGTGGATTCCTGAATAATTATTTTTGGGTACATTAATTTCAATTGTTTAGGGTTTTAGTGTAATTTGTGTGTCATTTTCTTGAAAAAATGGAACAACCCAATTCACCTGTAAGATTCAAATTGGGAAAACAGTCTTCTTTAGCACCAGAGAGAGCGGAAAGGGAAGATGGTGAAGATGGGGTTGTAATTGATATTGATCCAAGGGTAAGGCTAATGTATTCGGCGAACGAGGCTGATATAGAAGGGATAGAAGAGCTATTGGAATGTGGGACTGATGTTAATTTTAGGGACATTGATAAGAGGACTGCTCTTCATGTTGCTGCTTGCCAAGGATCCACTGATGTTGTGCAGCTGTTGCTTGATAATGGTGCTCAAGTTGATCCCAAAGATCGTTGGGGTAGCACGGTACGATGATGATCATATCACTTTTTCTTACATGTATATTGTTTAGCTATTTGGTTTGTAGATGTTTGATTATTACTAGAGGTGGATCTATGATTTGAACATTATGGGGTCATTTGGTTACCAGGATAAGAATACTAATCTTGGAATAGAATATGAAATTGCTTTTCTTATAACCGTGTGTTCGGGCAAGCTTGCGCGCACGTCGACTAATTTCACGGATACCTGGTACCTTCAACCAGCAATAGGTACTAGGTAATTCTATCCACCAAGGCTTGGACAAATGGAAAAAAATCACCTAGTATTTTTTGCCCCCGCTGGGATTCGAACCCGAGGCCTTAGGTTCTCAACCCACTTTTTTTATCACTAGACCACACCCTTGGGTGCATAGAATATGAGATTGTGTTTATCCCATGTTTGGTTATTAGTATTAGCTAGTGATGGGATAAATTTTATACCAAAATAGTGAGATTAGCTATCCCATATAGAATGTGGGATAGCTAATCCTCTGGGATATCCCAATCCATAAGATATCCTTGTCAGTCCCATCAGGTAACCAAACGACCCCTATGAGTTCAAGTTCATTATTCTATCAATCATTCAATTTACTGGGTTCGAAATCTATTATTTGTACTTATTTAGTGATTTTTTAACACATATAGAGGGTTCGAACTAAAGTTATTGGATTTGGATGAACCTGTAACTTATGCACTGCATCCGTCTGTGGTTATCACTATGATATTCTGTTGGTTTGATGTTGTTGGTGTAGTTACTTTTGGGTGTGCAACTTATGGAGAAAAGATTACTTTTGGGTGTGCAACTTATGGAAAAAAGAAGGTTATTTTTTAAGGGAAGCCTTGAAGCAACAATAAAGTTGCCTCAGTGTGACCTATAGGTCACGAATTCGAGCCGTGAAAGCATCCATTAATGCTTGCATTAAGTTAGACTGTCTATATCATACCCTTGGGGTGCGGCCCTTCCCCGGATCCTGTATGAATGCAGGATGCTTTGTGCATCGGGCTGCCCTTTTTGAATTTGTGGGTATGCAGCTGGTTATTGAGAGTAGTATTGCTCAATTGCTAGTTATTCCCTTTATTTTGCCCCTTTTTTTGGATAGCCATGGTGTCCGGGCCAGCTTGTACGCTCCTCAACTAATTGCACATGATACCTGCTACCTCCCACCAACAATAGGTACTAGGTAACTCTGTCCACCAAGGCTTGAATATATTGGAAGAAATCATCTAGTATTTATTGTCTCCATTGAGATTTGAACTTGAAACCTCATGGTTCTTAACCCACTTCATCGACCACTAGGCCACTTCATTTTGCCCCATTTTACGGGTTATATTTGGTGTCTGGGTCAGTTTGTGGACACTTAAACTATTCCACCTAGTATCTTCATCCACAAATATAGGTACTGGGAAACTTCTCCCAGCGTGGTTTAGGCACATAGAAAGAGTACACCTAGTGCAGTCTCTACTGAGATTTGAAACCTTGGTTTCAAGATTGTCACTCTAGCGCTTCCACCGTTAGGCCGCCATTGGGGCATTACTAAGGCTGTTATGATATCTTAGATGGTGGATCATGGCAAAGAAGTAATATTAAACTATAACAAGGGTGGTGGATAATAATACCATCCTAGTTCATGTGAATATTGTAGAATGTCGACTTTTGTCTGCTTTAAGATACTTCATTTATGATAAGTGCTGGCTTTAAGATATTTTTTGTTACATGACGTGCGACCCTTGTTTAAGATGAGGATATATGCAACAACAACAACAACATACCCAATATTATCCTACACCGTGGGATCTGGGGAGGGTAGTGTGTACTCAGACTTTACTCCTACCTTGTGAGGAAGAGAGGCTGTTTCAAGATGAGGATATATGCATGAAGATGTAATAGTTGTTCTTCGTCTTAAACATATACCAAAACAACAAGAGAAAATGATCAAAATGGTCCTTCGTATGAGGGTTGATCTGTTTTGGTGCTTAATATACCACTTAATAGATATAGTCCTTAATGTATGTAAAATGTGGACAGTTTTAGTCCTAAGCCCTAAAAACTAATGGTTCCTGTTAAACTTAACAGACAAATGCAAAAAGGTTCCCTCCTCTCCTCTTTCTTCTCCTCACTTCCACCACCTCCCTCTTTGTTTCTTGCTCCTGCTACCTTCTAGTTGTTTCCTTTCTTCTTCCTTTGAGAGTGATGCAAATATTTATTGATTTTTCCTCTTTATTTTTTGTCTAAGATTACAAAACGTATTCAGGAGAATCAGGACTTGAGCTGGTTTGAGAAGTCTTGGTTTTTTGTAATTCTTACTCTTGGACTGAGATTGTCTTACCGCCAGTTTGTCAACCTCCTAGGGTGTAAGAGTCATTTGACTAGTCGAAGAAAAATAATGAAAGTTACTTGATAGGGTAGAGGTTTAATTCACTTTTGGTTCGTATTAACGCTGTGCAATTGCATGGACACCGTAGTATTGTTCCTTGTAGTTTTTTATAAAGGAAATTTGACTTCTTGTATTCTAGGAAACCTAAAGAATGTAGAAGTGACAATGTTATTATCAAAAGAGGAATCACCAAATAGGGAAAATTTAGTTTCTCAAAGTTTTATGGACACACTTTTAGTTGGACGCAATTTGAGTGTCCTGTTTTTCCTATTAGTTTACATTTTTTGGCAACAATCTAATCTTACTTGAACAGCCTCTTGCAGATGCAATACATTATAAAAATCACGCGGTGATCAAGCTACTGGAGAAACATGGTGCCAAGCCTCCAGTAAGTTTGCATTTTCATTCTAGCTACTGATCAGGGAAAAAGCTTTTATTTGTTTATTGTTATAAGAGTTGCTTGGCTTTTGATGTCTGTCTAAATTAATTTTCATCCAGATGGCTCCCATGCATGTTAATACTTGCCGTGAAGTGCCGGAATATGAAATCGATGCTAAAGAACTTGATTTCACTAATAGCATTGAGTTGAGCAAGGTAATATATTTTGTTTCACTCGTGTCTTCCTAGTCTTGTCTATTTAATTTTACTGTTGTGTCAATATTTCTCTTCCTTTTGCAGTCGTAAATATTTTTTCTTTGGTGATACTTTGCCTTTAGGCTAATTGGTTGTAGTTTTTGGTAGCCACTGATGTTTATGACTTGATATCAAATATGGAATTTTGACTTGAGCCTTAAACTGGTACCAGAAGATAATAGAGCTGTAATAATGTACAAATTCTAATTTTGAAATTGCTTCTGGGGTTTCCACATGCTAATTGATGGTTAGCCTGTCATTGAAGAGTTTCAGATAGTTATACATTGAAGGACTGGGTTTAGGAAAAATACATGCGATGGGCATTGGGAAAACATTAAAGGTTACTTGAGAATATAATATTTACTCCAAAATTGAGAGAAGACGAGGACAGGGAAATGGTAGAGGAAAGAGAAGGGAGAAATGACAAGGAGAAGTAAGAAATCACTGTTTTCTAAGCAATCCCCTGAGTGAAGCTTTTGAAAATAAAAACTGAAAGGAAAGAAGATAAGGTGGATGAAAACTGAAAGGCATTGCTAGAGTTACAAACCTCTAATTCGCAGACTATATTCTAGTAGTTGCAATGCCAACAGGAACCAGCTGGAAGCCTTGAGACAGTTATTTGGTTTCGGGCAATGTTTGGTCTCAAGTTCGACTGTGGAAGTGTGAGATCATCCTAGTGGTTGAAGTGAATAATATTGACTGTTTTGGCATAGGCGCTCCACCTTTGGGCTCATTAAATAGAGACACAACAATGTGGAATCCTGTAGAAGAAAGTGGTAGAGAAAAGACTTACACGTTGGCAGAAAAGATATTTGTCAAAAGGGGGAAAATAAGTGATAATTAAAAAAGCACTCTATCGAGCATTCCCAGTTAGTTATTTCATGTCTCTGCTACAAGCACAGGCTAGCGTGACAAGAAAATCGACAAGACTATTGAGGAGCTTCACATGGGACTCAGTCGAGGTTTAACTGGCACCTCCTTAAATGTATTTCAAGCAGTTGATGTTACTTCTCACGTATTGAACCTTGCGCTCTATGGTCATGTTGCGTACGCCAACCATTAATGAGATTGACATGAGTTCATCTATATTTTGACTTTAAGCTTTAACACACGATTTTAGAATCCAAGAAAAGGAAATTTCCTAACATGTCCTGTAGCCTCCCAGATAAAAGTGTGGTGCACAACATACCCATGGGATTCTACTAGACACGGCTCATGACTCCCTAGGACACCCTAAACTTGACTGCTCAGGCACCAGCTTTAAGAGCCCAGCCCACTAGTGATAATGTCTGCTTTGGGCCTAGACCCGCACGGGTTTAAAATGCGTCAATAGGGTCTAAGGCATGCTTCCTTATATACGCATCATCTCTCCCGTGTTTTGCCGATGTAGGATTCTCCTGGGGTATTACATTTGGCACCTTGACTAACTATCTGCTGATTAATGTGGTATAATCTGATGCTTAGAAGAATTTTGAGATGGCTCATTTTATTGTTTACTGAAGTGGCCTATCATATATTTTTGCTCCAATGTAGAAATTTTCTTTCTATTTCTCTGTTGATCCAAAGATATTGTAGGGGACGTTCCATATTGCCTCATGGCGTGGAATACAAGTTGCTGTAAAAAAGTTTGGGGAGAATGTGATTGCTGATGAGGATAAAGTGTGAGTGATATAAAACCGATATTGCTTCTATTTTTCTACTTTCAAGGGGAAAACCACAGTTGCTTCTTCACATTGTTTAGCTCCTCATTTATTCTTTGATTTACATTCTCTAATAGTAAGGTTTCTGCAGGAGGGCATTTCGAGATGAGCTTGCGTTGCTCCAGAAGATAAGACATCCTAATGTCGTCCAGTTTCTTGGTGCCGTAACACAAAGTAGTCCTATGATGATAGTGACAGAATACTTACCAAAGGTCTTTCTTATTAATTCTACCAATATGCATACTTATATTTGAGAATATTTTTGTACAATGGTCGAATTTTATAGTTCAATCCATTTCTTCTTGTTGATCTGTTTCTCGATTTTTCTCCTCGTTTTTTTCTTTTCTTCTTTTTGAATAAGTAATATGTTTGAAACTTTTCCAACGAAGCTATCACTTTGAAATGACTCTTCCGTTGCCGTATATTTCCAGGGTGATCTCCGTCAATATTTGAATAGAAAAGGAGCGCTTAAACTAACAAAAGCTCTCAGATTTGCAATGGACATCGCGAGGTTCACATCCACTCTGTGCTATTGGCAAATATTATAAACTCTTTATAAATTGCAAAACTAGTGGTTTAAATGTTTGAAAAAAAAATGAAAATATTTATAAAACTTTTCTTGGATATAAATTTGAACGTATCGTAGTCCTTGGTTTTGACTATTACTCCTGAGCTATGTTGCTCGGACTCTCCGAAAATGTTGATGGGTGCGTGTCGGATCCTCCAAAAGTAGTGCATTTTTGGAGGAT